TTTCGGATGTTGTTCGACCGTTTCCGTGGTATAATTCTCAATTTGATAAAATGTGATAGAATCTATGCCAGGTATAGGCACACTCGTCAGTATTTCGGTAGGTATAGATTCCTTAAAAAATCGTGAAAAAAAAAAGAAAAACATGCTGACGTATATTAAAGAATGTATGTACAACCTACTAATAGAGCTCTTTCACCTACGTTTAAAAACATGTATGTATTATCGTATGTATAATTGTATATATAATCTAATATAGCTTATTAGTATACATATAATCTAATCTTATAAAATTCAAATATATACTTTAATTTATTTAATAGATTGCACAAGGTACTTTTTTTTCTGCTTTTAACTTTTTCATCTTACCGGCACGATGTGTTTATCTATATAGATTTTTTCTCTTTGCACCTTATTATACTCGTCTAAACTTGGTTTGCCTTTTACAACAATCATTGGTACGTCGAAAAAGTAAGTTTTCAGCAAGTCTAAAAAATATTCTACAGATTCGGTTTTTAAATTCTCGAGTTGACGTATAGTGCGTAATCGTTCTTCTAGCTGAAAACATCCAAAAACCATGATATATACCGAATTAAAATATAATTCAATTATGAAAAAATTAAAGTTTATTGACTAAACTGTCTCACATACATCATTACTCTCACATTCAGCATTATCTGTATTTCCATACACCATATGATCAAAGACTGATTGTGCTATTAAATCGTGCGGATTTTTTTCTAGTTTAATTTGTCGTTCCAAAATATTTTTATCAATTAACTTTTTCATTGTCTCTATATTTATACCATTTTCACATAAATTGCTAATTATGTTTTTAAGATATTGTTGGATCAGATTAATATTTTCTGCTAATACTTTCAAAAAACACATACGCAAGGTCGAAACTGAATATATGAAAGAATCGCATTTTATCGCATAAGACCCATCCATCGATGGTATTAACTGATCATTGAATGATTGCATGATGTACAGTAAGAGTAATTCACAACCGCGATATTTGTACATTTCAGTAACCACTGACGGTCCTCGCCAAGCAAAATACACCTCGCCATAGGTTTCCTCACTACATGGTATATCGACTTCCACATGTACGCTCTTTGTGAGCTGTTTAATCGGAGTTTGCCAAGGTCTCCTCAATTGCTTAGATTCCTTTGACAAGCAAGACATAAAACTAAATATTATAATGATGCCACAATTTTTTAAACACACAAAGCTTCAAAGAAAAAACAAGAATATGGCGTGGAAAATCTGTAACAATATGTACGTACTGTTGAACTTAGTTTCTCTAACGGCAGTAAAGCCTGAAAAATTTTGCAGTGTTCTATCTTACCCAGTATCAATATAGTCAAATTATTTAGACTGTAGAATTTTTTATGAAACTGTTTGACTTTTTCGAGAGTAGTACTTCCACGCAAATTTTTAGTTGTACCTGCAATTACAAATATAAATAATTTCTTATGTACACTAGCACTTTGAAATATGTACGCACAAAAACTATATGAAATTGTTTCGTGTATTTCTTTTTACCTTCTACTACATATTTGTATCCACAACGGTACAAATAAAGTGCTTGAAACATTTTCCTAGTCATGATCTCGCTTGATGTTTGTTCTTTCTTCTGTTGTTTACAATACAATACACCGGTATTTTTATCGTTGTCAAAATGATGTATCTCTCTACGATATGCTGAAGCCTACCAAAATGTAGAGACATATTAAAAATTTTTATTTACAAATTTATTTTGAACACTTCTGAGAGGAAAGATTATCTAATTAATAAATAGTTTACTATCTTTTAGAAAAGTTTGTACAAGTGATTTGTTGTATACAGTACGATACAATACGTCAAAATTTTGTACCTCACATAAAGTTTATTGTTAGTATAACATTGAATAAGATTTATTGTTGAAGTTAGGTAAAAGTACAATATTCTGCGGTAAATTTATATTATGTGAGCCAAAATGTTATGCGAATGTTGTATCGGTGTAACGATTTACTTTCGATAGATGTTAAATAGGTTACTTGTTGTTGTTTTTAGAGGACAAAAGAGAATGTTATGAAAACACAGCATACTAACGATGTGTTTTTGACTTAGTAATCATAATAGAAGATTAAAGGTAAATTTAGTAAGATTGATAAAGCCGTTACAAAAGTCAAAACGAATAAAAAATATCTTTTGTAGTAGTTATCAAAATAGAATAGAATATTTTTTAATATGTCAATAGTAAGAAATTGACAGTTTAACATTTAGCGGTTAGAGAAGATCTCAAATAATGATAGAGTTTTCAACTTGTTTGGGAAACAGCATCCATAAAAAACTTATCATTTGATACTCTCAATATTTCACACATTTTCGTTTTAAACATATAAACAATTGAGTAAAGACATTACCTCTAAACTAGGAAAAAATATGTAATCAAGATATTTTGGCATTAGAGAAAGAAATGCTTCGCTACCAGCTGCGTTCATAGTAAAATAAGTACGATCTTTTAAACAATAACCATCGATGTTGCCTCCTAAGCATCTATTCGCCCATTGATTTAAAGTAGCCTTGGTTGGATGTTCCTTGGTGCCCGACAAAATGAGATGTTGCAGCGCAGAAGGAACACCGTTGTCATTTCTTGTTTCAGTCACTGATATAAAACATTGTTATACTTAAGAGCTACACAAAATTTTTAAAATCTTATATTCGATAAGAGATACCACGCATTGCTTCAAACGTATTTTGCAAATGTCGCTTTTCGATAGAAACTATCTTACGTAAAAAAAAATACGTTTGAAGTGTGCGTGTGTGACATTATAATATCAATATATTACCAATATTAAAATAACCGGTGATAATTGGACCGTCTAATTCTACAATACAAACAGTGATGCCGCTGCTCACAGATCTATACATGTGAAATGGAATAGTATCCTCGCACNTTAGGGAACATACTTTGTCAAAACCGAAATTTTCGTTTGACGGATGTTCTGTATCGTGTGCCATTTTGACAAAAACAAACTTTGTTTAAGCTGATACTTATCTGAATCTCGATCTAAAACTAGTTTGTGAGTATTAACGTGGCAACTTGTGGAACGTCCGCTATCCTTCACACGCACAAAGGAACGTCACATTTATACATGTAANGGCTGTAGTTTCTTAATATANATTCAAGTAAGATGGTATTCATAGTCCGATTATATATGTAAGACTGTCTAAATTTACCTTAAAATTGACCTTGGTTACTTGTTGTATTGTTTACCGTTGAAAGTTGAGCGAAATGTTTCATTGGCTACATGACGACCAATCGTAAAATGAATGTAAGACAATTTTAAATATAAGATTGAACTATGAATACCGACCTTACTAAAAAAAGTTTTGTGAAAATGTTTATTCGTTAAAAACTTATCATAGTATGTGACACACAGAGAGAACGGTTTCTTTAAATTTATTAGTCCGATTTGTTTGACTCATATTTGTTGCAATCAAACAACATAAGTTTATACCAAACCACAATTTTGTTAAATAAAAATTAAATTGGTACGTTAAAATAAATCAAAGTATTAGACGAAAACAATAAAAATGTTCAAAATATTTTATTCCAACGTAATAATATTTTATTTTGATGTAATAAGCAGTATTTAATGAAAAAAGTCATTTTGTACTATAAATGTAACATAAAATATATGTGATTTAAATATAGCATTGTTTGAGACAAAAACTGTCGCGCTGTAAAAAAATTGTACTTTAATTTATAATAATAATAAATAATTAATAATAATAAGAGAAATACTTTTATTTATTGTTGCAAATACATTGAACTGCAATAATTTTAATAAAATTATAATTCAACAAACTAAGGTGTGTGAGGGCGCAAGCCGCGAAAAAGTTTTTTTTTTATTGAAGTTTTAGATTTATTTAACCTCACAAAATACTTTGTTTGAAATTCAACAATCGAAATGTTTAGTTGAAAATCAAGATTGTTTGACAATTTCAATGAAATAATTTGTTTGGATTTAACAAAAGTAGTTAACTAAGAAATGAATAAAGTCATAAAAAGTGGTTAAATCTAAAGACAACGTTCTCTGTGTGCATGTATCTTTAAAATAAGAAACTTGAAAGAATAAATTATTAATTTGAAGGAATGCGTTTTTCCAGGCTTTGGTGAAGTAAAAATGAAAAACTTTGTTAAATTAAAAGTATTTATAGTAAAAGTATTTATAAGAAAGAAATGAAGAATAACTTTTCTTTTTTTAATTTTACTTTATTACGGTTGTTTGTCGTATTAAAAATCAAAGTTTTATTAACAATTAAATCAAAAATTTTTATTGTAACTCTAAGATCGTAAGAAAAAAAGTCATCTCATAATAAAAATTAGCAAATTAAAAGTAAAATTTTAATTGATCGAAGTTTTTCGATCCAGCACTAGAATTTGCAGCAGGTAATCTCGTTACTACCTCAGTAGTAAAAAAATGAACTGTTTTTTATACACATAAGTAAAGTTACTGTATATACATTAATATAATGTTATAAATATCATAGTAGTAAATAATCTGACATATGTAATATTTATTAAAAAGTATATAATATTATTTCTGTGTGTGTGTGTGTGTTTTGCAATCTTGTTAAATACTTTAAAATTATTGTATAATATATTAAACAATTTTGTAATAAAATAGGTTTTGTTTTACAGTGGTTTGTAAATCTTATAAACTGAATTATAGAACTGTCAAACTGTCTGGTGAGACAGTTACACTATGTGGCAACTTCTTATGGCTAGTCTACAATGAGAGTAGGCAGTATACAGTAAGAAGTAAGGTTCTTAAAGTTTTTTTATTTTTGTCTATACAAGTAATTGTTATGTCGCGTGTTTTAACACACGTCTTTTCTTGGCTAACAGTAAGGCAGTAAATTGTGCGACCTGGAAATTGCCCGTTTCGTAATTTCCGTTGTTCTTCACCGAAAAATAGTTTACTGTCTACTCCTACAGCCTTACTACCTTGATTGTAGACTAGCCATTAGTCACGCGGAACATAGCAGCTCATGTATATGGTAAATGTATTTTTCGAATATATAGATATATACAAATTCTCAGGCTTGGTATTCATAGCCTAATTGTAAGACTGACGTAAGTATTTCAAAATGGTGACCGTTTCATTGGCTACAGACGATCAATTGGAAGATAAACTATAAACGGCAGTTTTTTTAAATAATCATTTTTCAAAAATAGAATTATTTAAGTAACATTTACCTGTTTTCATAAACGGTTTTTGATATAATAATTTATTAAAAACAAATAATGCTTCATTTTGGAAATCTGATAACGTTAACAATATAAACGATGATATTAGAAGTGCTATTTAGAATAACCTAATAAATAAAGTGTCCTTCACTCACTTTGTCTTTACTACGAATCTTTGTGAGATAACACAACTTTAAATGTAAGTATCTATATCGTTAAAACGAACTTCATTTAAGAAATGTTTAATATAACATTAAATTTAAATGTTTTTCTAATCAAAATAATTATCTTCCGATTCAGCAACCTGTTAATGTTTCGTTGACAGATGTAAACTTTGCAGCAGCTTGGAATTGAAGTTATAAAAAAATTAATTTGTTTCATGGTTACTTTAAAAAGTTTATTATTTACTCACTTACGTATTANTATTCTAAGTATCATACGTATACATATTTAAGTGCACAATATTTGTTGTTACTTCATAAGAAATAATATTCGAGTTTGCCACTCACATGATTACTCATGTTTCTCATCAGTATAAACAATAGTGCACAGTACAAGTCACATCTAATAAAATCAGGTTGCTTTTACAGTCTTTCATATATCGTTTTAATTAAACACATAAAACTGTAGATGTTGTATATACAGGGTGTCTGACAATTACTTAAAAATCTTTCGTAGACAGGTAGAAGAAAAACTGAGTAAAAAAGTCCTGGACCATTTTTTTCTATTACTATATATGTAAATCTTGTATAAGATTTGCCTGAATTTTGTTTGTGAACATATTTTATCGCGCACGCGCGTGCATATTGCGCACAAGAAACCATCTCATGNCTTTTTAATACCAACAAATATAAAGCGCAAATAGCTAACATATTGCAACTTATTTNCTCTTAATTTGACAGTATCACATATCTAAGATGCATGAATTGTTCTTGTGTGTAATGATTGGATATTCACGTACAAAATGCTGTTTAAAGTTACTGGTTATATACTGTTCAAATGAGGACGCACTAGGATACGAANTTGCTCCCAAAATGTTATCTGGGTCGATGTATTCAATACTTACTTTATTATATGTAATAGAAAAACCTNGTTTAGGACTTTTCGACTCAGTTTTACTCCTTCTACGAAAGATTTTAAAGTGANTGTCGGATATNCTGTATATCATGAGAAGTACCTTTTCTATAACTATGTTTTAAAAGTTTTATTNAGTAGATCAGTCTTCTTCTTATTTGGCATAATTGTTTACGATAGTNTAAATTCAANTCGNTGAAACTTGTATTTCATCCTATGGAAATGTGATTGTATGTATACACTTTTATTCTTTCTTACTATAATAAAAGATATAATATATAATATGTATTTTTATTTACCCATCAAAAGCTNTTAGTATCTCGNCGAATTTGAACTTATTACAGACGATGGCAGTTTTGACGCNTTTCGGATCAAACAACGATTTAACATACGAAGCTGCCACGCGGCTCATATCGTCCATAGTAACGGCAGAAATACGTTGCACCATAACAAAATTATAATCAGGCGGCATGTTTTTGCAGTAGTATTCAAAAGATACGTCTATTGCGTTGTATATGGATTTCACTTCGTTTACATATTTTAAGATAGCTAACGATTTAGCTGAGTCGTAAAGATGTTGGTCCCATTTGGCTTCCGTAATATGCGTCTCCTACAACAAAAGTTTCAACATTACAGAGACGATCTAAACTCGCGCTGTTTTTGACAAATTATATATACATTCTGACAATTCAGTTATAANNTCACAAAAAAACAAAAAATATAGTCGTACCACTATCACTTTCGTCGTCGTGTACGCAGCTNCTATGTCTGTACATTTAANAAACTGNAGATATAAGAGTCCTGTGCTCGGATTCGCAAAAATATTAAAGTCACAAGAACATTCTTTTGCTTTCATTACTTTCCATAAAGGTCCCTGGAAAAAACATGCATACGTGAAACAGATGGCAAACATTTCGCAGTTTTTTTATGAAACAATCAATTTCTTTATCAACAATTATTACGTGCTTACTTCCATTTGTGTGAAATAGTGCAAACAGACAATTAAAGCTGGCAAATTAAGATCGTCAGAATCATTGATACAAGGACAAACTTGTAAGAAGGACGAATATACATTTTCTATTAAATAAACAACAGCGTTAAAAGTTCCTTCACTAAACGGTTTAAGTAATTTCCAATTAACGGTGACATTAGGCCTGAAACGTGTATAGTTCATTGCATACATTTACGTACTCCTAATTCGTATACTCGCAGATAATAAAAAAAGATTCAAAATTGCTATACGTAGATTTTTAAACATATNCAATTATTAGTATAAATGTAAAAGTCAGAAAAATCATGTAAATTTTTTATGTTGTAGCACATTATTAACATTTTAATTTTATGTATTCTTTTTATCATACATTAGTAAAACTTGTTTTCTACATAATAGTATTACTTTGTTTCAATCTATGTGTATTATATTATTACTTCTGCATCTCACNTCGTAAAATTTTATCTGTNTGCGTCGATTACGCTTATATTNTATGAAAGTAATTGCACAAAGAGGGAAGCTTAAATCTCATGATTGATATTTNAAGTTACATACTTTTTTTAAAATATTTCAAAGGTTCAACTACACTTACCTTGTTTTTTTTGATGTCATAAACTTTGGANAAAATTTATTCCACGGAGCATAGACNTCAGGAACGTGTTCGNTTAATTTATCGACATTGACGGCCATGTACACAAACATATTCTGTGGTGAAAACATCGTTTTTCGAACACATTCGATTTCCTTTAACACTTTCTCTTGTTCTGCAGTATTTAGACGGTCTCTGATACNATTCAACACANTATACAGCTCNTATATGTTGGATGGATACGGATAATTGTCTGCCAAACAAAGAATATACGCCGTTAACATCATATTATATTTATCATATTTTATTATATTATCGTTACATTATACTTGTAATGTGATAGTTACTAAAATCTCCACAGATTTACCTGNTTTATACAACACCATTAACATTATAGCTGTAAGAAGAGTAATATCTTTTTCTGTTTTTTGCTTAAGATTGTTTGTTACTTCCGTTATTAAGAGTGTCAATTTGTCGGCTGTTAGTTCAATATCATATAAAAGCTCTTTATACAATTGTATACTTTTTTCATAGTTTTGTAATTCAACCTAAACGAAAAGAACTGGTTAAAAAATGCACTTTAAAGTTTCAAGTTCCTAAAATATACTTTTATCTAAAAGAATGTAGTTTACATATAATGCATTACTTGAAACATTAGAGTTATACTGTGAGGATTATTACTACCAGTATCAACATTATAGTTTACAACATCAGTTCTTTCCTTCATAGATTCTTTGATGACTTCCAGCAATAACGGAATATACNTTCTATATTTNTNACTAATANAGGAAGTGTCTACTAAAACATATAACTGATTTACAANTAAATGAGTATTAAATATCATATTATACTATACTTACATTTAAACAAATATTGCATTTTGACTATTGGAAGAGCAAATATGANGACAAATATATACATTTTCANTAAATAGAATTGTATACAATAATATGCGGTACAAAACCGATACTTACATAAATAANATTTGTATTAATGTCATTTAAACAAGTAAAAAATGGCAGTTNTTTTAAATCTAGTTTCGGATGTTGTTCGACCGTTTCCGTGGTATAATTCTCAATTTGATAAAATGTGATAGAATCTATGCCAGGTATAGGCACACTCGTCAGTATTT